CAAAACCCCCCCCCCCCCCCCAAAGGTGTGTATAAAATAGAGAAATATAAAGTTCAGGTGGGTAATAGGACACCCGTAAAGTTGGAGTGTGTAGTTGGGATTTCGGGTATAGGTTGGGGAGGTTTTAGACCATTTTCTCAACATCTGTTCTTAAACTATTAAATAGTGATTATCAGTTCTAATTTTGACAACTTTTTCGTTTTCGATATACACTTATGTGTGTCCCAAAAACTTAAAATTTTGAATGCCGACAAGTCCTATAAACAAGTTGGAAGTTGGAACAAACAAAACGTAAAACACCATTTTTTTTAAAAATCTTTGTTGATAAAAATCACCAGGTATAATTACTTGTATGTTGTTACTTTCTTTGTCTTGTGCACTTGAATCTTTTGGTGCTCAAGTTTAAGGGTACGTATAATATATTCAAATCAAACTAAATATTGCCAACTTATGGATAATTGAATACCATATCAATCCAAACCAAAAATAAATTCGAGTTTTCGTTTGGCGTATTTCTTTAATTTTCCCTTGACCACTCCCGTTAGACGAGAATCCAGTACTCCACTCTCTCATATGCTTTGCATATTAATTTTTTACGGAAAGAAGAAATTTCAATAGTAATTAAAAATAGAATCAAATTCAAGATTTGAAGCTTAAAATTTCATATTTTTTTTTAAATACTTACAAATTATGAGCAAACTGAATTCTTGTAAACCCGTGAATAGATTAAAAAGTTAGTATATCAGAGAAAATATCAAATTAAAATCTAAACGTGAACAGTTTAGTTAATTAGAATTATTAGGAGTAAAATTTTAATAAAACAAAAAACGTGAGAAACACATAAATAGGAAAGGGAAAAAATTGTTTTTTTATTTTATTTTTGGTGAATTCAGGCGAACTCAAGAGTCAGACACTCTATACCCACCGAGAAAATTTTGATGGCAACGCCGACGTCGACGGTCAAGGGCGGCAGTAGCAGAGATGGGACAGCGAAAACGATGGTGGCTGATCAAATTACACAGTCTATACAGTCTACTTCCAATCTCCTTCATCTCATGCTTCAGTCTTCCCCATCTCAGGCACCTCTTCTCTCTTTCCTTCCTTATTTTTTTTCTAAATCAATTCATCTTAAAATTAATTTCCCAGTTGTTTGCTTATGCTCTTGTAGCAATTGGTGTACTTGATTCTCTTCTAATAGCTAAATTCTCTTCATGGGTATGCCTTAAATGCTGAATACAGCTCCACATAGAACAAAGATTAGACTTTTCGCAATTGGGGTTTATTACTTTGCAGGAAGTTCTTGGCTGAAGTGTGATTGATTGGTAGTGGGGGAACCAAAAAAGAGATTTCTTCAGTTTCTATTGTTAACAACAATAGCAATTATGAGTGACCTTCAAGGCAATAAGCTGCTAATTAGGGATCTTTGTCGAATCACTTCCGCCTTTACTCTATGTATCAATGCATACTTGGATATCTATTGTATTGCCTCGTCCATTTTAATTTATATGACAGCTCTCTCCATTTCGAGACATTCCATAATGTGTGATATCATTCCACAAATACTTATAGCTTTTAATACTTCAATCGTCAACTAACTTATCAACTACTTTTATAGTTTCTTATGTTAAATTACTGTTGTAAACTCCGTGCTCAATTAAATACCTTAATATAGACGGTTATGTAGGGAGTGTCTTTTTAAGGCTTTGTGCACAAGGTTCTGGCTTAAGAATGTTTAAATACTTAGTGGCCCTAACATGTACGTTACTTTTTTTATATTGTGAAAAAAATACATGAAGTATACGTTAGAGCCACTATGGATTTAACGTGTACTTCATGTATTGCTGACACATTTCTCGATATGCTTCAGGCGGAACTGATGAAGCTACCAAAAAGTCTTTTTGCCAAGACATCTACTATCAAGAATACTGAGCTGGTATGCAGGTCTTCCTATAGTTATAATTTATGAATTTCAATTAAGATGACCCTGGAGGAAGCTTCAATCCTAATTCTATTGCTTTGATTTTCCTCGTTGCAGGTATTGGAGCAGCTGCCTCGGGTGATTTCGTCACTGGATGCTCATATGGACAACGGGTTACAAAGGTTGGCCCTTTCACGCATTTTTGGTTGATGAAATTACCTTGTAATTAACTTTCTTCTCTCAAAGTGAGCTTGTAATATGCAACTTGATGTTTGGAATGCGTCAATGCTTAAATGATCCGAGAATGATTTCGTTGGGATGCTGGTCATCTATCTCATTTGCATGCTGAAAATTATCTTCCACTAAAATGTATATCCTGCCTTTACTTCAGAAAAAGAAGGTTGTTTCAGGGTATGGAACTAGGTAGATATGCTCTAATGAGAAATTATACATTGATCAGCTCTCTTTGTAGAGCAAGAGAAAGGGAAAGGAGGAAAGATTTGGATCATGTGTAAAAGAGAGTGCGATCTTCATATAACTAAGTTTCTAATCTGTAGAGTTGCATAGCACGTTATTTTTCCAAGTTAGGCATGAAGATGCGACTTAGAATTTTCTTTTGACTAATTACTCTAAACTTGCGTGGATTTTCACAAATTTGACCATTAAAGTTTGTGATTAATAAAGCAAAGAATTAGGATAGAGTTTTTGTAAGCTTGACAATAGATGAACAACTATCAGTATTATTTGATGTTAGTGTGATCTTACTTTGATAATTGCAATGGAAGTTGCTTCCTTTGAGATGGAGGAATTATTCTTCCGGGATTCAGCTGTCTTGACTACTCCTTTTTTAACTGCTCTCACGTCAAAGTTAATGATTGCAGTGTTCCTCAGCTGAAAATTGTAATGCAGCTGCTCTCAAACATAGAAAACTGCCAGCTCAAGACCTTATCCAGGGCTCAAGCCATTCAGCAGGTATTACAAAACTCTCCTACCCCACCTCCCATCCCCCACACCCAAAATGGAAAAATATCCCAAGAGGTTATTTTCCCTCTCCCGTTGGATTGTCAATCATTCATATATTTATGGGGTTTATGTAGTTGTCCTTACGGTTGAAAAACTTCCTAGAGAGAACATGGATAGTTGCAGCGACCCTAATGTTTAGTTTAGTCTCTTTAGACAATTACTGGCACCTCTTAGTTATGAATTTATGATAAAAGGTGCAAAAGTTCATCAGCTCGATTGCTTTTAAATTCTTTCTTTACTGGTTGTGACAATATTCCTTACTACCCAATTGCATGACTGTACTTTTTTTAATGATCAGTGCATGACAATAAATTTTCAGTGACAGAACTTTCTTTCTTGTGCATTTGGAGAACTTTCTGGGGAATTTATTAGTTTTTCAGATATCATTATGCAGAGTGGTTCTGTTTGATTCTTTTTTTCTATGTTCTGTTTAAGCTGCTTCAGACATTGTCTCTTAAGCATATCCTCTTTAGATGATTTATTTAGAACTAGAACGGTGACTAACTTATCTGTCCCACCTATCTTTTCAGGAGACTGGATCAGTAGAGCAACCTCCAAAGCCAGCTAACCTTCCTTAGGATGAATTGCAGAATACTGGACAAGGTTATTATCATGTCATCCTGATACTTAAGTATTTGATATAAATACAGAATTGATTGATATTGTTCACTGGTTAGCAAACGAACCCTTAATGCTTCAGCTCCAGCGATGGTTTGGTTTTAACTTAGAGCTATAATTGTGTGTAATAGAATGTAATGGTAGAGTTGAACTGAAATTTACTTGCCTTTAACATGTTGCAAGTAGCCAACTCTTACTTCCTTTTTTTTACTGTAAGCACTAATTATCTGCAGTCGGGGCTGAGGTTGGGAGCCACATTCGATATTTGCTCATGTATATTCTTGATACTACAGATGTTCATATAAGAAAAAATTATTAACTTGACTCTGGTCCTATAGTGGTTTCTTTAGTTCTCGTCATTTCTTGGTTCTTCTCTAGAATGACTTCTCTTGTACTATGATTCCTAGATAATTTTGTTTCCATGCTGGTTGTGATCAACGTTTGCTTAGAAGTGACAGGTTTTCTTCGTCGTGGTCAGCTTTGGAATTGCTACATTTTTTCTTATAACGGTGATGTCCAAGTCAGGTTTGTGTCATCAGCTATTCAGAGGAGTATATTGAAATCCTCACATCATTGAGACATAAGATTGCATACTACTGTAGGATCAAGCAGAAAAAGTTCTTAGCACTGAAGTTCTAGCTTGATATTTGATAATTGATTTAGAGTTCCATGAAATCTTGGAGTGGTCTTTTTTTAACGGTTAAAACAATTGCAAAGTTAAGATTGTTCTTCGTCTAATGAAGACAATACAATACTATAGGTAACAATATTCAGGTTTTTTTCTTCTTGGATTTTGCAGAAACTGTGTTTGATGTAGATTTTGAAATGGGTAATGCTTTGAGAAGTTTTTCAGTTTTTACAAGATTTGAAGAATTGAGTTTGGACCTAAGTTTATCAATTTTCTTATAAAATGCCAATTTCATTATTCAATTTTGACATCTAAATAGTACTGAACAAAGTAATTCAGTGTTCGTGATGACTGATGAATGGGGTAGTAATGTCTTATTATATTCTTTTTGGTGTTTAGAAAAATTTTGATAATGGATAAGGTGAAATTGAAAAAAAGACAGTCTGCACCTGTCAATACTAAAAATTTGCCTAAAATTGACTTCAAGAGAGGTCGGAAAACACTAACCTTGCAAGGTCGGAATTTTATTTTAAAATTATTTTTTAAAAAAAAGAGATCTCCTGAGGTTGATTTTTTTAACGCAAAAATTCTGAAAAATGAAATTCAACCTCTGAATTCTGAAAGTCTATTTTTTAACGCCAAGAACTGAAAAATGCAAATCGGCCATGAGAAGTCATAGAAAGAAAGAAGAATTAAAAAAAATGTAAAATTGTAATACTAATCTCCTGAGGTCGATTTTTTTTCATTCTTTTGCAAAAATGAACTCCGAAGGTCGGCTCTTGCAAAAGAATTATTCTTTTACAGAATCAACTTCTTTAGGTTAATTTTTTCCAACAAAATATATGTTTAAAAAGTATAAATAAAAACTATATGTCTTTAATCAATAAGCATTCATGGTCTAGTGATAAAAATGCATTCTACCACATGGAACTGTCGAACCTTGGATAATGCATATTATTGTTTTGAAATCGACCTCATGAGGTCGAACTTTTTCAAAAAAAATTTTGGTTTAAACATCTTTTGAGGTTAGTTTTTCTCTAAAAAAAAAACCTTTTAAAACCATTCTCCAGAGATCAGTTTGATTTTATGATCAAATTATAAGTTGAGGTCAGTTTTAGAGGTCGAATTGGATCCTTTTTTTTAGTAATGTGCGGGATTCATAGAAGGACCAGACTATAAGAGTTTATTGTATACTATATTATCATGCATTTCTACAAGAGACTCTTTTCACAATTTGAACTTGTGATCTCTTGAACATATCTGAAATTAAATTTCATATATGTGATATATATATTTTTCATGAGTTTATATGAAATTGTTTTCCGTTTATGACATTTCATGAATATAATGTTCTTTTAATTTAAGTTTATTGAGTGTATTTAATCAATTTGATTGCGTAAATCTAATTATGCATTTATCATATCATAATTCATAGACATACTTTTAAAATATATTTCAAATACCAGAAAAAGAAATAGATAATAAATAAATAAAAATAAAAGATAAGCATAAGTAAAATAGCAACAAAAAAATATTTAAAAAGCAAAAAACTAAATTAAAGAATGAAAAGGCATAAAAATAAATTAAAACTATTTTATCCAAATTATATTTGACCAAATTGATTCTTATCCATATTTATATATGAATAAATTACAATTCAATCCATTTTAACTCAATTTATTTTTATCCATTCAAATTTTATTTAATTCACTAATTTGATACTCATAAATAAAAAGTGTTTGTGATGTAAGACTAGTCAAATTTTATGATGGTGACTGGTGAGAAGTTGGAGGAATCGAATAGATCAGTCGAGGTCAACGTAAATTGTTCCTTACACCTTTATTTATTAAAAAATAACTCATCAAATTGTGATAGTATCTTGTGTTTATTTTTATTTGTTCAATATTAACTTGATATACATCTTAAAAAGTAATAAAATAAAATAATAATTTTATTATATTATTTTATTAATATAATAAATTCAATACATTAAAAAATAACTATAATTAATAATAAAAATAAATTAGAAATAAAGTGATACTTATCTCTTAATTTTCTAAATTGAATAAATAAAAATGATCATCTATTTCTAAAATAATGAACAAGTAAAAATAAATAGAGAAAATAGTAATTAATACTCCCTTCCTTTCATTTTACTTGGTCATGTTAGAGATTTATTTTATTAAATTAACTCTATTGATTATGTTTTAAAAATCTTAATTTGACAACTAGTATTTTCTATAATTATTTAATAATAAGGATATTATTGAACGAAAATAATTTTAAAAACTCAAATTTATTAAAATAAGAAAAAAAGAATTTTATTTTTAGTATAAGAATTTTCTTTTGCAAATGGGTATTTTTTTTTTCTTTTTTGACCAACAATTATTCTCTCACAAACTGCAAGTCATTGTCTTTGTTGTGGAACATTTGAAAAATGGGCCCGCCAAAGTATACTGTTTATTCCATAAAAATGGAAATTGGGGAAAGAGATGACTCCATATCAGTCCCACAAGTCACAACCACATAGTTACAAACTTACTCTCCTCTCCGTTCATTTTTATTTGTCAGTTTTAAAATTTTCAAGTCTCTTGAAAAATAATAGTAATAATTATAAATATTTTTTAGTATAATATTTACATTAATTTAATATTATAAGTTAAAAGTTAAAAACGTTTTTAGTACAGAACAAGTAAAACTGAAGCAAGAGAGAGTAATGGTGTTTTCTCAGTAAAGGACAGAGATCAGATAGGGATGCGGCGATACAACACGTAATACTCCAAAAAAAATAAAAAAAATAACATGCTATTTTGGTGAGCAAAATCACGTGAAAGTTTTTGGTTTATAGTTTTTTTTTGTTGCTTACTTAGTTATTAGAAAATTATGATTTTGATTTTCCCGATTTAACTAAATATGTATAAACTTTAATTAATTGAAATACGTATTTTATTTTATTTTGGCTATTTGTATTTATAATAATTATTACTTCTTTCGTTTTAATTTATGAAATATTTTTCAAATTTCAAATTGTCTTTTATCATGGCTTATAATATTTTTTATATAATTATCAAATATGTGAATTTATTTTAAATGACTTGAAATTTTCAAGTTCAAATTCATGATTAAAATTAAAAAGTTTAACTTCAAATTTGTGTTACATAACTTGAAACAAATGGAGTACTAGTTTGTTGGTTTGTGTGACATATATGGAATTTAAATTAAATAAGTAGCACTTACGTCACTATTATTGAACTTTTGAAGTAAGTTAGTTGTTAAATTCAATTATTTCTAGCATGGTGAAATCACTTCACTATTGTTGAACTCAAAATAGTTTTTAGGTTTACACAGAGTCGAATTATTTATGATTAAATTCACGTGAATCAATAAATCAATGTCGTTTATTGAATTAAAGTCACACACGCGTCATTTCATAATCCATTAAAAGAAAAAATATCTTTAACTTGAAAATTAACGTTAAGATCAATTGATGTTCAATACGGAAAAAAATTAAGCCATTTTCAATACGTTACCGACATTTTAAATCCTTTTCTCATAATTATTAAATGTTAACCTACTTAATTATTAACATTTTAGGAAAAACTTATATTATTGATTTATTACATCACAATAATTCCAAACTAGAATAAAAAAACATCTCAAATTATCAATTAGTTAAAAATTAAATATATTAGAATAAAAAATAAAATTTAGTCAAAATTCTTTTTATGACCCTATTTTGACACCTGCGTGTTTGTCATAGTGTGACCTAGCAAACAAAATCCCCCTGACACAAAACCGAAAAGCCCCACATATAAATAGGGGAAGAGGAAACTCGGGCGGGTTACTCTGCCTTCTTCTCTTCTTCTGATTTTGATGGCTTCCTTCACTCTTCTCTCTTCTTTTTCTTCTGCTAAAAAAAATACTCTCATCTCTTCCTTTTCTTCTTCCTCCTCTCTCTATCGCACAAGCCTTGCTCTCAAACGAACCCGGCCTCCCAACTCCGTCATTGTAAGTATTTTTAATTATATAGAAAAAAAAATCGCTGATGAATCCATCCTTGGCCCTACCGGGCTTTGCAGTGGTGAAGATTGAACGATTCAGTTGGTGAATTCATATATGTACTTCTTTTTTCATTGTCATGAAAAAGCAGAATTTTAAGAACCAAATTCAGTTGAATTAATTTAGATGGAGGAGATGTAATGAAATCAAGTAACGCCATGTTTTTGCCCCTTTTTTGACAATTTTTTTTTCATGTTTATGACGAATGAGTTGGATTGCATAACATGTAATTTTCACCACCTTTTATTTTTGTAAAATGTTTCAGTTTTCTGCTTTACTCATTCTTTTCCAAAAGATAGATATATATATATATCGGAAGGATTAATAGTGTTCTCACTTACACTCGAACCCTTGAACTATCTGATGATGGATGGTGGAAGTGCTGAACGACTTGAGCAATTCTCAATTGTGTACTATCAGTCTCACTACTTGAAGAGTTTTTTTTTGAAGTATAGAAACACATCTACCTAAAAAATTTATGATTTTACTGTTCCTTGCATGAAATTTTTATAGAAAATTATGATGTACTAAAGTAATAGTTAGATTTCAATGATTTTGTATCTGAATGTTGCCATTCTTGGAATAAAAGTTTTTACTGAAATGTTTAGAGTTATTACCTGTTTTGGAGTAAGAGACTAGAGGTATATGCATATTTTTTTTCCTTCTCTTTTGTTCATGTCATTTCTATGTAGGTTATGTTCTTCTAGGAAACAGTAACGGTCGGTGTTTTTCTATATAGGTTATGTTTTTCCAGGAAAAATGAATTCTTTATCCTAATTCTGCATAATTTTTTCATATCTGGTTCATTTACTTTTGGAGCCAATTTCATGAATTTAAGCTCTATGAGAGGCCCTACTTGGTTGGTTCAATGTCTTTTGAGGTTTTGCAAAGTTGTTTATTTTATTAATGCATGTCTATTTTTTTGTCTTAGAATTGTGAAATCAATGAACCAGTGAATGAGAAGCCTACTGTGCCAATCATTAATGATGTGATACTTCCAACGTTCTTGCAAGCCAAATGCTTAGAGAATGCAGTTAACAGAGATAATACCAAGCTGAATCCCAAACTGAAGTTATTTTCTGGAACTGCGAATCCTTCACTTTCTGAGGTAAATACTTCTGTATATGAGGACTTGGGGATGCCTAGTTATAAGTACTTCCATATACTAAATTGTCTTGAATGTCCCTGAGGTTTTCCTGCTATCTTTTGTGACCGTGAGCTTTACTTTTGTGTACCATATCCCTTATCTCTTGAATGACTGTCGGATCCTCTTATGTTCTCTGTAAATTTCGAAAGATGAAAGGTTAGACATTTACGTTCTAGGATTCTAACTTGATATGTTGGTGTCTTTAACAGTTTAGTATAAGTACTCCAACCTCTTCCACGCCCAAAGAATTTCATATATCATGTTTAACAATGCATGTAATTTCACTTATAATATATTACTAATGATTGTTGGGACTCCGTGAGTACCCACATAATGTTAATAGTCAAATAATGGGAATAAAATAGAGAAATAAGTACAAATATTTTTACGTGGAATTTTTTTTAAAATAAAGGAAAAACACAACGACTAAAAATGAGCAACTGATATTACTATAGTAATTCTTTTTACACTTTATAGTCCCAAGTAACTATTCATAGAACTAGTGGCGGAGCCACCTTACAATGAGGGGGGTCATCCGACCCCCCTTCGGCAGAAAATTATATGATTTATACATGGTTAAAATATTTTTTTAGGTATATATAGTAGATGTCGACCCCCCTTCGGCTACTTCGTGTGTCTATATTTTTAGATTTTGAACCCCCTTACTGAAAATCCTGGCTCCGCCACTGCATAGAACAATACACATTCAAAGAATTAAAAGGAAGAATCTTCTTCTAATTATTCCACCTCACTTTTTTCTTTCACTCTGTATAATTTGCTCTCTGTAACTGCTATGTTGCCTGTCTTTGTTTGTGGTATCTTCCAACTGAGGAAAAGCAGTCCTGTTTATACTTTGTAGTGTTACGAGTACCATACCGATGTCATAAGTGGCATAAACAAAGATTGAAATTGAAAATGTTGCAATATAAAGAGATTTATTGGCCGGTTGTCCAAATCTCATTTGCTGCAGATTCATTGGCCGGACTTTTTATGCCAAAGGAAGGAAGACTTTCTGTCTAGGATCATGGGCTGAACCCCACAATTCTCCCCCTCCACTTGAAGGAGATATCACTAATTTGTAAGATTGTGCTCATGCCGAAAAGTTCTTTGCATAGCTCAAACTTGTCTCTCAGTATCACCTCAGCCAATGTATTTGTGGGATTCTCACTTGTGTGAATTTTCTTGACCTAAATTCAATGATATTTGACGTCGTTTTTTTCTTCTTTTGCATTATACATGAAGGTCTTGTTTAAGTTTACTACACTTCGACCGTTAGAATAGATAACATACTCTGTTTGGTGCAATTCAAGTTCTTGAAGTAATCGCTTGAGCCATGTCATCTGGTTGCCTGCTTCAGTAGAAATGATGCACTCTGCTGTAGTTTTTCAAAGTGAGACACAATTCTGCAACTTAGACTACCATGATATAGTATTATAGCTCCTTGAAAAAGTAAACAACTATCCAATGATGGATTTTGTATTATTAAGATCTCTGGACCTATTGACATCTGTATAGCTCTTCAAGATTAGATTTGGTTTCCTAAAATAAAAGCATTCATGTGAGATTCCTATCAAATACCTGAGTATCCATTTTACAACTTTCTAGTATTCTTTTCTAGGGTTCTCAAGAAATTTGATAACAATACCCTACCAATTGAGGAGTATTTGGACATTCTTTCTTTCTCCTTATCTGTTGTAGGTCATGTCTTCTTGCTTAACTTCATATAACTAGCAAGAAGTCTGGTTACTGGCCTAGCACTTTTTGTGTTGAAGCGTTCATATACACGTTCGATGTACTTCTTTTGAGCCTGTCAGAAGTCACAACCTTTTATTTGTCCTAGTTCGATCTATAACATTCCTAGAATTTGTCGTGCTGGACTCAAATCTTTCACGTCAAACGTTTGGACAAATCTCCCTTCAATTTGGTTTCTTGTTCTATTAGTTTCCTATCTTGTCTTACAATTAACGTGTCATTCACTTACAACAACAAAATGATGAAATAATTGTCAGTGAGTACTTTTTGTACCATTATGTTGGTGCCTCCTTCAACTGTAAAGATCAGTGGTGTTGCTAGGATTCTAGCGAAGGGTGTTCAAACTTTGAAGAGGTAGATATTGTAAAGATATGGCACCTGGGTCTAACTCAACCCCAAAAGCTAGCTCATGAGGGAAGGTTTGTCCAAGTCCATATAAGGAGATCAAAGTCTCATCCCTTTGATTGAGACTTCTTAACACTCCCCCGTACGCCCAGACCTCAACTGGAATATGAACACTTCTAAATGAGGGCCCAACATCGGTGAACAACATATTGGGATGGGTCTAGCTCTGATACCATGTAAAGATATGACACCCGAGCCTAACTCAACCCAAAAAGCTAGCTCATGAGGGGAGATTTGTCCAAGTCCATATAAGGAGACCAAATTCTCATCCCTCCGATGTGGGACATCTTAACAAAAAAAATAAACGATGAATGGATGTGGAAATTTTAAGTCAAGCTACATAATATTTAGTTAAGTAGGACGCCAAGAATTTTTATGTGGCAAAAAACACTAGGTGATTCTTCTCATATGTTCTAGCCTTAGTGGAAAGAGTTTTCTGGTACCTATTGCCGGTGGGAGGTGCGCAAGAACTGGCCCGGACACCACGGTCATAAAAAATTATGTGGAAAATCTTTTTAAACTATGGGAAAAGCCACGACTCAAGAGGAACAATTGATCTCACTAGAGCAAAGAATTTTATACTTTGTAGTCCCGAGTAAAATACTCAAAGACCACTACACAAAAAAAAAGAATCCTTTTTTGATTTTCCACCTCGCTACAATACAACTCTCTATTTTCTCACTGACTATTTCCTTACACTGCTGTGATTTGTGATTTGTGCTCTGACACTGCTGTGCTGCTTCTCTGTCTGTGATATCTTCCAACTGAGGGAGAGCTGCCCTATTTATATAGTGTTAGAATACCTACCAATATCATCAGTGACATAAGTAAAAGATAGAAATTTCCAAGATAACCATATGAAAGAGATCTATGGACTGGATCACACAATGATGAAGAATGATAAAAGTAGTGTCTGAAAAGAAAGGAAACCTTACAAAAAAATTGAAGTGTGAATACTATATTGAATTTAATTCCTTAAGTATAGAAATAGAATGGCGAATAGTATAATGAATTTAATTCCTTCAGTATAGCGAAGCTGCTCGTTGATAGAGTTTCTTATTATTATTTATAGCAATTGGTGTATGGTTTATGTTTCAGGGTGGACATTTTGGCTTTAATTTCTTTTCTCATGAATCAGTCTTTAAAGATTGTATGGGAAATGAAGTAAACTACCTAAATAGGAAAGAAAAGAGAAAGAAAAAAGCATCCATGCAATGGGGAGATGGAATACTGTAAAAAGACTCAATAGAGGATTGATTGCAAATAAAAAGGATTTAGAAGACCTCATATACGATTAGTCCACCTTTATCTGATAACGGGTGCCCACTTATTGTGTATAAAATATTTCTAACATATATCTACATAATAATCCATAGTTAGAGCTAAACTTATGGGTTCCCGTGCACCCCTTCATTATGGTGTAAGTCCGCCTCTGCCTCCAGCACACCCTTCTTTTCGGTCCTAATTTCCTGAACTCCTATATATCAAGGTGATTGAATTACAAAAAGTAAACAGGAATAATCAAGGTTGCTTAGGCTGGTTGGAGGTAGCAGGTGCCTGATGCAATAGTTTAGGTTGCGTGTAAGCTGGCTTGGACACTACTATCATCAGAAAAAATAATCAGTTGCTACATGAATTGTTATTCAAGCTGTGAAATCCATTGAATTTCTGTCATCTTTTAAGTTATGCCTTTTTTCTTGACATGCAGTTCTTTTTCTTTATTCCTTAGGAAATTGCTTGGAACATGGGGCATGAACTGGAGAAGATCACCATCAAGCGCTTTGCTGATGGTGAAATTTATATCCAGTTGCAAGAAAGTGTTCGAGGATGTGATGTTTTCTTGATTCAGCCCACTTGCCCTCCAGCCAATGAAAACCTTATGGAGCTTTTGGTGATGATAGATGCATGCCGAAGGGCTTCAGCCAAAAATATCACTGCTGTGATTCCATATTTTGGATATGCCAGAGCTGATAGGAAGGCAAGTTTATCTGCTGTCCAAATTTTGTGTTTTTAGTTTTCATATTTTTTTATTATTCACAAGTTGACAGCACAAGTTCATAGGGATGAGTGATAATATGTTAATGAAAATGATAAAAGGAGACTGGATAAATTTAAGATAGTGAGTAACGTTGTCTCCAAAAAACTACTGTACAATATATCAAAGTCATTGCGGGTTTAACTAAGAACAAGTTGCAGTTGAAGCAAATAATTCATATAGGCAACACCAGCAAGTTGAGATTAAAGCTTGGCTCTTTGTTGTCAACTTACAGTATTTCAGCATTTGTTAAATGTTAATGTTAGAAAAGGACTAGGATTGTATATACTGTCCTACATGGAAAAGAATTATAGTGTATAGTATAAACACTCAGAAGTGATGTAAAATTTGTTTATTATTAAGCATGAGCTGTTTAAATAGAGTTACAAGAATTAAGAAGACTCCTAACTGAATACTAATAAAGTATCCCAAGGGTGATAGTGCTTCTAGGGGATGGTGTGGTCCTGTCGAGATGTCAATGAGGTTGTAGCCATACATAGCATGGAAAATTGATCTTTATAGGTGGTGAAGTTGTGACCACCCCTAAGCAAAATTTAATTGAATATGATGTTGGTAACGGTTGTGCTGTCAACATTGACAACTCTGAGATTGTTGCCGTTGTTGACCATCGATGGTGATTGGCATGGAGAAGAAAAATTGGATCGGTCTCGTTACAGCCTATAGATCCCTGATATAAACACCTAGAGAAATGATGTAAAATCTAGGGTTACAAGAATTAAGAAGGCTCCTAACTGAGCACTTCTAAAGTATCCTAACTAAACAATGCATTCTGAAATATAATCATAAACAAACTACTCAAACTAGGACTCTGAAGTCCTAAACATATCCAAACAGTATCCAACGTAGTGTTCCAATATATAGTAGGGCCAGGTGTAATAGTATAGAACACACAATTCAATAATACTTTTTCTGTGTTTTTACTTCTTACATGGTATCAGAGTCTGTTTATGCTGGTTGAGACTTGTATATCCATGTATAAGAATAAATAAGAGAGTTAAAGAATGTCTAGTTGTTGTCTTTTTTATAATGCTCCTAATTCATCTTAAAAAGTAAATGATTTGGAGTTGGAATGGGATGTATCTGAATAAAGCGTAATGAGTATAAAGGATTCATCTGACGTATCCCAACTAATTTGCGATTGAAGCATAGTTGATCAGTATATTATGCTCTTTGCTCTTGACATCTTGGGCGGTGCTGCACTTAACTACGTTTAGCTTGGATTCTTCTGTCCTATTTATGCTTTTTTCGTCTTGACTTTTCTTGTCAGTCAGGATTTCCCTGGTTAATTCCAAAGAGTTATTAATTGATGAGAATATTTACCAAAAGAATGAGAAAAACGATATTTCCAACTTCTGTCTTTAACATAAAGAAACAAGTAATAATATGAGGACATTCTTAAGTACATGTTAATTTATCATATTTTATATCTTTTCAGACACAAAATCGTCAATCCATTGCTGCCAAATTGGTCGGGAACGTTATAACAGAAGCAGGTGCAGATCGTGTTATAGCTTGTGATCTTCACTCTGGGCAATCCATGGGTTATTTTGACATTCCAGTGGACCATTTACAATGTCAGGTAATCTATTAAGTGCGTCAGAAACATTAAGAACTGCAAATTTACTTAGCTGATTGGCAGTTTCCGTTCTTTGTACATGCTAGCCTGTTATCACGGATTACCTTGCTAGCAAGAAGATTAGTTCCAATGATCTGGTGGTGGTCTCTCCTGATGTCGGGGGAGTTGCTAGAGCACGTGCTTTTGCAAAAAAATTGGATGCACCTTTAGCCATTGTCGACAAAAGACGCCAGGAGCACAATCTTGCTGAGGTAGTTTCAGAGATAAAGTTTTTGATTTCACACTTGACACAGTTTTATCTCCTGTTGGCTTTTACTCATAGATACATGAAGTAGATGAAATGATTCTTTTCTATCCATTGAGCGAAATTTTCTGTCTTGCATATGTCCTCGTGTCTATCTAATATGGGCTCTATTATTTCCTCATTATATTGATAGAGTCATCTCATGTATGCAAAGAAACTAAATTAAATCTTCAGAGAATAAATTGTGGAGATAAAAATAAACGAGAGTTGCATCATCCTCTTTGACCATGAAACGGCTGCTTCTTCATAGATCTCTGGCAGATGACTTGATCTAGGCCAAATGCTTAGTGAGATCATGACACCAAATAATTATGGTACAGTGGTGTTCTTGTTTTGTGTGCGTCTGTCTACAGTTTTTGTATAGCTTCCCCCTCTATTTTGGTCTATCTTTTCAGATATGGTTTGCTCATGTGGTGAATCATCTCCTAAATTATTATTTGTATTTTATCACTATCACCTTCATGAATAAATCTTCTACTTAAAAAGAGGCAGAAAACCAGACATGCTCATAATCCATGAATACAAAAGAACAATACCAAGAGTTTTATAGTATTTCGCAAAGCAATAAGTTCTAGGTTCTAGGATCAGTTTCACTTTTTTATTTTTGGGTTGCGTTTCACGCCATTTTATTTGTCATTGATTCCATCTTTTGTTGTTGCCCACAGGTTATGAACCTGATTGGTGATGTTAAAGGAAAGGTTGCTGTCATGGTTGATGACATGATTGACACAGCAGGTGAGCTTGATTACATATATCAGATACTCATGGCAAGCCATAAACTGGAGATTTCTGTTTTTTGTCTCTCCCTTTTCAAAGAGAGCATCCAGTTTTTTCATTACGCGTAAATCTGTCTTAGATTATGAAGTGTCTCAATAAGAACTTCCATTCCCAGTTTTTATTAAATTTCCTTATGTTTCTGTAGTCCTTCGTCAGCTCCCTTTTTTCTTTCTTTCTGAGGAGATCAGTTTTGAATAATAACATCTTGCTGATGGATCGTAGGGACTATTTGCAAAGGTGCAGAACTTTTGCACGAGGAGGGAGCACGGGAAATCTATGCATGCTGTACACATGGTGTTTTTAGGTAACATTTCTGTGCATCATACAAACATGGAAAAATCTTTATATATTTTGGAATAAGCTTTCAGTTACACTGTATCTTGGTATGGGTTCTTTATTACACACTTGATTTTTTGTTTTTCTTTAACGTGCAATTGAACTCTTCCTGCGTGCAAATTGTTCTATTCTTTAGTAGTTCATGAACTAGGGTTAATTGGACTGAGCTTCCATCAACATGTGTTGTGGAGTTTGAACAACATTAGTTAATACAAGAGAATAACTTGTGGATATAGACATGTCCATTTACGAGTAAAATTCTGGCTCGTTGAAATTGGATATTATAGGAGTTGTCTTGTATTAGACTTGTTGTATAAGTTTGTTGTCAAGACAAAGACTTGACATGGCTCTTTTCTGTCTATTTGATGCAAATGCTATTGCTCTTTTTTCCATTAGGCACCTATACTCATTTATCGCACAATTTAGTCATTATGCATGCATATTTATTTGCTGTTGGCTAAAGTGCTGATATTTTGTGATGACAGCCCCCCTGCAATTGAATTGTTGTCAAGTGGCTTATTTGAAGAGGTTATCACGACAAACACAATTCCTGTGATGGACAGACACTACTTCCCCCAGCTGACTGTTCTCTCAGTTGCAAACCTTCTTGGTGAAACAATTTGGCGTGTACATGGTGATCGTTCCGTAAGCAGCATTTTTCAGTAGCCAGGAATATAAGTTATAGAGTTTTTCCAGCCTTGTTTTCCTATGTATGTAGAGCCAAATAGAAACTATTTATATTTTCAGAATTAGAAGGGTTAAGGTAGATATGCAAAAAAAATTGGATCACATAGGCAAATGCTGGAAGAATGATGTTAATAGTATGTGCAATCAATACATTTCGGGAAATTGTTTATCTTCATGTGTAGGTAGGTAGATGATAGTGCGTAAAATATTAGATTATGAAGTAAGGATCGTCCAACTCATCATAATTTAAAAATTAAAACGGTAAAATATTTTTCTTACCCCACTCCACCATTTCCTCTTCACCGTATCCCCCACCCCCAACCCCCATTTTTTATTTTATTTTTTCATTTAAATTTCTTTTATAAAAGTATTTAAATTTTTTTTACTTAATCTCCCCCACCCCCTTCAAATAATAATTTAGATATTATGTTATTTTCTTTAAAAAAAATAATTTATCCCACTCCATCTATCCCTCTGTTTTCAATTTGTTTTTCTTGTGTTGTGTTAGATATATACATGACTTTTTTTTATATAAAAATTTTATTTATGTTATATCCGATATACAAGTAGAAGATATTAGTATAGTTTTTGTAACGAGATTTGACTATACTTTTATTTCGTAAGATTTTGAAACTGGAGAAACATTAAAATGTTGAATTATTCCAACCACACTGTGACAAATTCTTGTCATCCTGGGCCCAATTCTTTTTACTTATAACAATTGGAGAAACATTAAAATGTTGAATTATTCCAACCACACTGTGACAAATTCTTGTCATCCTGGGCCCAATTTTTTTTACTTATGACAATTATAAACATTATCCTGTCACAGTGGACCGACTTAGATTTGCTACACTTTTCTTCAACAAAGTGGCTTACTTATCAGTCACAAGCAAATTATTATGCTACAGAAAAGGAAAAAAAAAAAACTTTTTCCTTTAGTGAACAGTATTTGGATAATCAAACTTGTCAAGTTTCTAACTTTCTATAGTTTTCTTCCATTAGAACCCTGAGCTATCACCTGCAAATTGGCCGTTTATTGATTCACTCAAAATTTACTTATATCGAAATGAAATGGATAGAATATTATTTTATAGAAAAGTATAATCAGGGAAACCTTCTACTAGCCCTAGATCGTTAACTAAGATTGAAAGATTCAACTTAAGAAGAGGAAGCTAGAAAGGAAAATTTGTATTTTGGATAAAAAGAACTTAGTTATAGAAAAAGACTTACTTGATTTGAGTTGTTCTTGGGTTGTATTATAAATGCCTAATGTTGTATCTGAATATTTCTATATTTTACTATAAATATCTAATTATCTAGGATATCTACACATTTCTTAGATACTACACTAGGCTATTCTAAAAACTTTATTAGATAAATCTATGGTATTTTAAAAAATTAACTTTATTTTTTGACACATGCCAAATAAATTTGAAATAAGAATGCATATATTAAGTTATTTAACTATGCATGAATTAAGTTATTTGAAAACGTACTATCCCTTTTAAAGTAAATAATTCTCTTCATCACAATTTTCTCATTATTCCTCATCACCCACCCACTCAACCTCCCTTCCCTTTTTAGCACTCAATAATAGAATTTACTTTTTTTGTGATGGATAAAATGTTGTTCAAATTCGAATTTAATGGTTTTCTTTTTTTTTTTCCAAATTATTGTAATCCCCGAATATAATAGCCCCACAACACCACTTGCCATAAATAACCCAACCCATTATTCTGAAATCAAAAGGCAATCAATAATGTCACAAATCGAGCTAAAAAGGAGAACCTATTTTTCAATATGCCCCGCTAATTCCGCTTCAAATTATTTATCTTTATTTGAATAGAATAAATATTTAATGAAGATAAATTATATTTATAATTTTAAAAAGTTAAATCTTAAATATTTTTAAAAACGTGTAAAAAGGAAATACGATAGATAATTTGAGATGGAATGAATATATAAAAAAAAACGAAACATTTTCGCTCAATCAAACCCAACTACGTGGCTGATTCTGTGCCACACAGCAGTAAGGGACAGCACACGAGCAAGACCTTTATCGGATCAGTTAAAGGATCTACTTTTTTTCTTCTGTGTCGGGTGAAGTCAATCGCCACGCGCATGGGTAGAGCGTTGAAACACGCGCCTCCGTGTGTGGGACTCCCGGTGAGCAACCGGCATGTCAGTAGGGGCGATGAGAGCGGTGGTGGCGTGGAGGGACGGTGGAGATGCCTTGTTTAGAAAGTGCGTCGAGAACACTCTCCGTTGATGGAGGTTTTAGGCCCAAGGGTAGAGGCAACCATGGCTTGTTTATTGCCTCCTTCACTACTTTATCTATCACCTCCTCCGCCTGCAAAACCCCACATTAACATTTTAGAGAAAAAAATTTAAAATAAAAAATGATCCAATGAAGAATTTAAAGTTTATGAATTCAAAAACGACCCTTCACGGTTAAATATTTTAATATATACATAGAATTTGAGCAAAAACTTAATTGCCATGAAATGCAACATGCTAGATCCGCCCTTGCATCCATAAATTTGAATAAATAAAAAAAGTAAAAAATGAAAACTTTTACATAGTCATAAGATTAATGTGTGAAAATATTCAGCACTACTATGTCAAAAGTTTAATTTGTAGTGTATTTTGAAGAATCAGTGCAAAGTTTTGCATTCGACGTTTACGTCAAATTATATCATGATTAAGTGATTTAAGGAAGTGAAATTAAACTTTAAGTGTGACAAACTAACCGGGTGAAGATCAACTGATTTCTCTATTATGCTATATCTATTCTGTATTCCCTCAGCCCTGTGAAATCCAGATGCATTCTGCATTGTACAACAAATGTACAGTTATGATTTATGAACATGGTCCAATTGTGCATTCACATAGAACAGCTAGCCAATATGTTGCTGAATTGAATGTGAACGTTCAAAGTAGATCGTAACACCAACGAATTTACCTGAGGGTATGGCGTACATGATCCTAGAGATGGAGGCGTAACGGGGCAACCCCATACATCAGCATACAGCTGCAAGTAATCAAATAACAGAGTTCAGAATTTATCGAAACACTTAATGTAGGTAGTTTCAGCTAAAAAATGAAATAGTTCATTAGTTTTAAGGACATTAATAGTACCTCTGGTTGAGGATTCCAGTGCCATGTCTCAGGTGGTTGCCATCCAGGATAATAAGGCGAACCCCACATATGTGCACCATTCGGGTAACCTCCTGGTGGTATCCAGGCAGGATAGAATTGACCAGCTGTGGGTGCATGGTTAGAATGATAGTTTGGGAAGGCCATGACAGGTTTATGTGGATAATACGTCCTCTGTACTGAATCTCTAGGTTGAGGATGACGCCATCTTTTTTCATCTTCCTTTGGCAAAATTTGCCTCCGCTGCATCCTGAATTTCTGCATGAAGAAAGGGATGATGTTCTTAAACTGAGCAATGTAATAGTCTGTTTGTGTTTACACAACTTGCTTTACAATGTCACCCTAGGCTTTATTTTAGCTAAGGGTCTGTCGGAAACAACCTCTCTGTCCCTATGAGGTAGGGTAAGGTTTGTTGTTCCTTATTAAATTTACTGCATTATGAGGTTAGATATCATGCTCCCTTCTATCTAGCAGACAGGATTTGTTTTTCTTTTCTTTTTTTGCATTCATTTTCACGCATTGTAATAACTTCAATTGAAAGATTAGAGTACTAGTAAATTATGAAAGAGCAGAACAAAACTCAACAAACCTGGAGATGACTAGCTATGTTATGTCTCGTCAGGCCTTCTACTTTCATCAGCTCTAGTATTCGAGAAGGAATGGCTTGATCTATACCAATTTTCTCGACTGCTTTAACAAATTTCTTGTGTAGTTCAGGTGTCCAGTCTACCTGGATTTTATGAGAGACGAAAGCTTACTCCCACAAGCATGTGATTCGAAAAATTCATGATTCTTTAATCTATGCTGAGTTAACTACATATAATGCTAAAAAGCACAAAGCAACTGTGTTTAAAGCCTATTCTGATTGCCAAATATCAAATTCTACTTATTGTTTAAGACATCAAAATCTCATCTAACATTTGCAAGTTAAGAACAAAATCCAAAGTAACTATCAACTAGTCAGCAGTCGTTCGATCTTACCTTCATTTTCTTCTTATTAGCTTTTGTCCCACTTGAACTATGGAGACCATAAGCTTTGTTCGGGTCAGCAGAACAAGCACTGCCATTGTCATTACTTCGTGAACAAGTAGCAATAGGATCCTCCATATTTTGATCAGCAGCAGAATCATGCTCCTCCTTTGTGATAGCCTCTCCTAGTCGCTCAGAAGAATCTGCCAAGACAGTAGTCTCAGCAACAGAATCGCAACAAGTAGTTTCGACAGATTTTGTGTCCCCTTCATGCACCCCACTATCTTGTTCATTTGACAAGATAGCATGATCTTGGAGATCACCATCATCCACTGACCTTACTCCTTGTTTCTGTTGTGGGGTTGAAGGAGCTGGATATTTATCGCAGCAGGATGATGATGTTTTTTGGTTTTCCACCACAGCTTCATTAGTATTCTCATTATCTGCTTCGCGCTTTACTGGTTGGAGCTCTAGCATGGACAAAAGAGATTCTTTAACCGGATTAAGTGACTCAGAGACATTCTTTCCTCCAGAATGAAATGCCTGTTTCGAGTAATAAAAGTCAGATTTCCTCTGCATATAATAAGCTCAACAATCTAAAAGAACATATTTAACCCAGTGTAGTTTCGGTAAAAAACCTTGTGAACTACATGCTGCCATATATTTCTCAGTTTATCATCTGATAATGGTTTCTGAAGGAACTCAACTGCACCAAGCTGCAAGAAAAAAGTATATAAAGAATTGGAATAATTCCACAATATTTTACTTATTTACAAAGTTGTATCAAATGATAATTGATCTTACCGCTATACACTTCATCATGATGTTAATAGAGTGAATATCTGACACCACTGGAAAAAAGATTGGATGAAGAAGTTTTATCAGAAATATTTTACTTAAACAAGCAAAATTTCCAAGTTTTACTGTTTCTATGATGTTTCTTAGCAGAGATAGGTTCGTGCTTTTCACAATATCGTTTTATGAATCTAGATAAAGGAATGAAGTTAACACTAGATCTAACTTAGTA